GGGTGCGGGCAGGCGGCTGCGGTGCAGCGGCTTGGGGGCCTCTGTGCCGCCGCTGCCGTTGGGGGGCTGGCCGTGCCGGTTTTCTGCGGAGCCAAGGGGACAGATAGCCATCAGGTTAGGAAGCAGCGCAGAGGCGTCGCAGTCTCTGCCCCGCGGGAGTGCAGAGCTCTCCCCCAGAGCTGCTCCTGCAGCTCCGCGGGACGAGCACACTCACGGCGGGGAGCCTGGAGGAGATGCCTGCTTTGGCAGTGATGGTTCCTCACTCTGAGCAAAACGCAAACAGCAAGTGGCTTGCGCAAATGCTGAGGAATAAAGAAAACTGAAACAACGCTGAATATAACAGAATATACTACGGGTTTCTTTTAAATTTCCAGTACTTTTGCTCATGAGAAGTTGTGTACCATGCTTTTATGTCCCTCCAAAAATCATGCATCTCATCGCTCTTGCTGCCCTAGAGACCCACGCACAGGATGCAGAAGCGCTGCTATGAAACTGATTGCACCCTGCAGCCTTGGTGCAGACAAATGCTAATGCTTCTGCTCCCAGTTTGGGGAAACATTTAAATGCAAGGCCATCTCTAATTACATGAGCAGTCTTGTGATTTTAAAGAGCAATTTGAATCAATCATGTTTTGCCAGTGCCAAAAAGTACACTTGTAGTATTAAGCTTAAAACATCATCAAAGCTCTGAAAACCGTAACAGAGTAAAAGACTTTTCATCTCTTTGGGGATGATGTGATCTAGGGCGCAGACTGCAACGACAATTAGAGGAAATTGGGTGCAGAGAGAAACATGATTTTAAATTGACGTGCCCTTCGACATGATAATAAGGGCCTTATCATTTCCTTACAATCATATGAATTTAACAGCAGAGTTGTACTTGGTCTAGAACATACTACCACTGGGTCCTGAAAAAGTGCTTCACTGTTCTTGCTCTGGATGTAAAATCGCCAGCGGCTAGGCCAGCCCTGCAGACCCTCTCGGGACTGATGCACTCTGGCAGGACAAGACTCCAGCAGCACACAGCCAACCCCCAGCCCAGGCACACTCGCTCCCATCCCACCAACTCTGCTCCTCAGTTGCATTTGCATCACTTTGCATTTTTGCCTCTGAAGCTACAAAACCTCTCCACTGGGCTTCTCATAGGCGAAATCCAGTCTTAGTTTAGCTAACAGAGAACGCTGCAAGTAAGAGAAAAGAAAAAAAAATCCCAGTGGAGTTCGAGTTGTGAGATGATGCAACCTATGTGTGAGTATTTTTTTGCTTTCCTTTCTCACTGAACAACAGACCTCGCTGTCTGCCATGTTCATGGCCTGGGACGTACAGTCCTGCTATCGTTATCTCCATTGCTCCTGGAAAGGTGTTAAAAGAAACAGGAGGGGTGAGATGCTGGTAAGGCATCAGTGACCAGCTGGACTGACCTCCACTTTCTTCCACAGAAGCACCGAAGAAGACAGGTCTTTCCCTCAGAGGACGTTTGGAAATGGTGATGGGTTTGTGCCGCCGGGCAGCCACCCTGGGAGGAGGCACCGGGGGTGCGGTGGTGTCTTCTGGGGGGCCGGAGTAGATCTGTAAAGGCAGACACGTTTAGATGACCCAGCCTGATGTGAAGGGGCTGCTGCCTCACCTCCAGCCAAAGGTCCACCCGCCCAGCACAGAGGTAGATGGTGTCCTCCACCGACACCTTCCCCATGGCCCTGCCCAGCCTCCAGCAGCACATGGTTCAGAAACGGCCCCGGGCCAGGCGCCGCGCCGGCATGTTGGGCAGCCCTCCGAGGACAGCATGCCACAGCCGTGCTCGAAGCCATCAGGTCCCTCGGCTCTGGGAAGGAGTTTGGCGGTTGAGCCACGCCAGGAGCAAAGAGCCAGCTCCCGCACGGCAAGCGGCCACCCGCTGCCTTTGCCGAGGGCTGCCCTGCTCCTCTCTGCCTTCCAGCATGCACAGAAGCGGTCTGTGGCCCGAGTCACCTCTGACTGACCCAGGAAGGCTGGAAAAGCCAGGGCTGCTCCAAAGCACCCCAACCAGCCGCAGCCCACGAGAGCCTGGCGGGGCCCTCACCGCCCTTTGCTCCAGCCCTGCGACACCAGCTCCTCCAGCCTCCCCGGAGAGGGACAGACAGCGCGCAGCAGCTGCTCTCAAGGGTCGGCAGCACCCGGGAAAGCCCCGGCTGCCGGTGCTAGAGAGGGGCTGGAGCAGGGCTGATGCTTTAGTTATGGCTCTACAGACGTGTCCGGCCACGGGCTTTCCTACCGACAGGCTGCCTGCTCTGCACCTTGCACACCCGCTGCAGCAACTGCAGCGCTAAACTAATTAACACAGCAAAATCACAAATACAGACACAATGTGTAGAAGCAAACTATCCCGGAGCAGATGAAGGAAGCTTTGAAGCTGACAGGTGCTGAGAAACATCAAGATTTCCACACGAGGGAGGTGATACAATCTACAGAAAGCACCCGAACAAACCACTGCATTGTTTTAGATTTAACGCTAAAACACCCTTCAGCTCTTGGCTTACAACAAAGTGTGTGGCACTATGAAATTATCTTGGATGAAATACTGGCATAAAAACAATGCTGCTAAAGAGTTTTATCTCCTTTTCTCACTGGTCATATGGCACCTATTTGGTTGGGTTTAATTTAGAGGTTCTTATTTATGTCAGTGCTTTTTTTAAGAGCTGAAAAAGAATTAAGCCTCTGGGCAGTCTCTTTGAAGATCTGCAACAC